TATATATATATATATATATATATATATAGGTTTATATTTTTTTGTTTTTAAAAACATAAAAATCATATCAGTTTCAAACTCAATTTATAAAAATAGAAAACATAAAATAAAACAAAAATAAAAACATACTAAAAACAAAAATAGAAATAAAAAATAAAAAATGATCCCAAACAAATGTTGAATGACTGTCCTTCAAAGGAAAAAAAGGGCGAGGCCCGAATATGGCCTGGTCTACGTAGTCGACTCATCTGACAATGTAGAAGGTCAATCACTGAAGGGGTCTCACCAAGGAGCCTCGGAGTCTGGTTCGGGTGTGCGTGGTGAGGGCCAGCAGGCCCTCCCATCCGAAGCAAGTGGTAATGAGCTGACCACAGTCGATACTGCAGGAAAGTGGGGCGTCTCAACGCCGAAGGGAGAGGGGGCCCTTACGACTGTCTTCTCCATTGAGATATTTATGGATGAATTGGTCAGGTCAAAGGAACATTAGGGCAGCGGGTTGCCGAAGAATGTTGCAGAGTGTGCCCCCACCGCGTTGGTTTTTATCTAGGTTAGAGATGCGGGGCTCCCGTCGTTGGCGGCCCTATTAATTCATCGGCCGCCCAACCCATCACCCATGATAGATCTTTGACTGGGGGGACCATGACAATCAGGGTGGGGTGCGAAATTCCCCAAGATCATAAAGCATCGGGCAGGCCAGACTAGACCATTAGCAGGCTCACTCGGCTCTTTTGAGGGATTCACCGGGGGTTCGGCTGCGGATCCTATGCATGAGATGCCTGCTCACCTAGATGTTGAAGAAGTGTTTCTGCGAATGGAGCTCGTTACTCTCTGAAGCGGGCTAAATGAGGCGTTGCGCGAGCTGGAGACACTCTGTGAGATGCCTGATTTGGCGAAGTTCAACCAGAAAGCTGATTGGGTGGATCATATTAGGTTAGCTTGAGAGATGGTTCTCCGAAAGTTCAGGGGGCATGTCCCCTCCAAGGTCTTCGAAAACCCCTTTATAAATACTTTGTTTGAGGCCTCTAATAATGTTATTCACAATAAAATGATATTTCAATGATTTTTTGAAAAGACGTTTGGTGTGATACTTATCATTATGTGATGCTTCGTCTGACACACATGCCTTACAAATAGGGGATGGGGTCACTTCTTTTCACTTTACACATTTTTATTTCCTTCATTTTTCTTCTGCTTTCTCTTCTCCTCTCATCCTTCAGTTAGTTCTACTCTCGTCTCTCGAGATGGCCCCCAAACACTCATTTGTCATATTTGGCTCTGTGAAGGGCACTAACAATTCATTTCTGACAAAGAACAAAGTGAGGGAACTACAAAGAGGGTATGTTCTTGACAAGAGCATGGGTCTTCAAAAGTTTCCAGGATCTGCGCGAGCAATGGATCCTCTGGGAACATATCTGGTCTTCTACCAAAACTTGTTCAAGCATGGCCTTCAGTTCCCTTGTGCTAGGAGCTACGAAGCATCTTCAACACCTATGGGGTTATTCTGATGCAAGTGTTTCCAAACTTCATAGCTGCAATCATAAATTTTGTTCTTTTCTATCGGCAGGGAAATCTTTCATGGTTGATCAAACTTCTTAGATACTTCTTCTCTATCAAGGTCGAAAGGGAGGGAAACATTATAATCTTAAAGTGCAAGGAACTCCACTTAGTAGCAATGGAGAATAAGATAAAGGGTTGGAAGAAGAAGTTTCAGGCTAGTTCCTGTTCTTGGGCTTGGGGAATCTGGACTGAGCCATTAGGGTGTAAGGTGTCCAAGTCGAGGTTTCTTCCAGAGAGCGTGACCATTGCCTTGGAGATATTGTCTGGTCATTGTCTCTCGATTCCTTAATAAACCGTTGAGGTGACAATAACCTGTGTGTTGATGGGTAAAATGACAAAGGAGCAATGCACAACTCAGACTTTATAGAGGAGGTCCAAGCGAAGGCAGCGAACAAAATTTTGGTAGCCAAGAATTAGAAGTGAAAGTGTCTCCCAGAATCAAGTAATCTGTTGAGGTGACAATAACCTGTGTGTTGATGGATAAAATGACAAAGGAGCAATGCACAACTCAGACATTATAGAGGAGGTCCAAGCGAAGGTAGCGAACAAAATTTTGGTAGCCAAGAGTTAGAAGTGAAAGTGTCTCCCAGAATCAAGTAATCTGGTTGGAGACGTGGACCAACCCTTTCGTATCATGGCCTCAAGATTCCTTGTTTTTGTGACTTTTGATAGTGTTGTTGTCAAGACAATGTGACCGGTAAGGTCTCTACTGTCACCTGAAAATGTGCTTCTCATTTTTTTGATGCGGTTGAAGGTGACGAGTGGGAGCTAACTTCGGAAGGGACTCCAGACATAACAATAGTCGTGGTTCCTTCATCTTCTGTAGCCGACGCCTAGGCCTGCGTTTCACAGACAATTGTTTTTCCTCCAGATTATAAGACTATAGGTCCTTCCTTCATTTCACTATCTAAGAGAATCAAGGCGAGATTGTCTGGCCCTTCAAAAATATTTGATTCCTCATCAGGGGAGTTGACTTGAGAGCGGGGGGGGAGCCAGTGAATGAAGAAGACGTTCCATCCCCCTTCTTTGAAGGGGATGAAGGAGGTCTCTAAGTGGGAGTATGTGCCCGGGAGTGCTAGGAGTTTATGGAGGAGGGCAGCAAGTGGATAAGCATGCTCGATCTGTCTCTAAACTGGTATCCACAGTCGGAAGGCAACAGGGAGTTGCCCTCGGCACTGGTAGTTTTTGTATGGTTCGGAAGCTTCAACCGTGCATTGTAGGGCTTCGCCCACCAATAACTTCTCTGAAACGTGACCTTGTGGCATTTAACGAGGGCATAAAGTGCCCAATTTCAAGGACTTGTCTTGATCTAGGTAGAGCAGTCGTTGAAGGAAACTCAAAAGGACACCTTGTTCGATGCCAACCGAAAAAGGCTTCAAGAAATCAAGACCTTTTGTAGGTAAGGCTTTAAGGATCCGAGAAGGTCTACCAGAAATCCCTTGGTATCATAACTATTGTGGAGAAGAAGGTTGTCGAACTAGAGGGGAAGCTTCACTCGTCTATCTTTAAGGAGGAATAAAAGAAAAATTTGGCGAGCAATTTCAGGCGCGACGCGAACTATACCACTCATCGATAAATTCATCACAGCCTAATCAATCACAATTACACTAACTCGGTTGACTTCTCTAACATGATCCCTGACAAATTGGATGAAGCCTTCGAAGGAGAGGGCAAATTTGGTGGCAGGGAGTGGGCTACAAGTTGAAGGCTCTATTGATAGAGCATTCTTTTGTTTCTTTTTTTTTTCTTTTGCATATCCTAAAAATGTGTTGGTGTCATACAAAAAGACTTGTAATTCCTGATAGAGTAATGAAAAGAAAATTATTGCCTTTTCATGATTACTTTTGTAAATCAAGGTTGTAAAATTTCTTGTTTTATCTAGGAATTTGGCCCTTAGAGTTCTTTGCTCTCTGGTCGGCCCATGGATTCTTGGGAGATGGCCTGTCTTAAATGTCCTAAGCATTAACCTTTGTTCCTTCTGGGCACTCGAGATGCGTCGTCCGATCGAGTGGGCATCGGTTCAGGCTAGTCTTGCCCCACGGTGCGAATCTTATGGCTACCTGCGAGTGACCGCTAAGATTTTTGGAGAGGCCTTAACAGTTATTTTTGTGAATCTTGTCGCTAAGGGACATAGGGCTACTCCTAGAGACCTCAAAGTTTAGACTTCGCATCGCTTTGTGACCAAGGAAACATCCGATTTTGCTTAGTTTGTTAGTCGAAAACAATCAATCGTTTATTTCACATATTGGCTTGTTAGTTTGGTCCCCTAAATCCTTTAGACTTTTGGTCTTTCGCGTTCTCGCTTAGACCTCCCGGGGGCGTATCCCGGACTTGCCCAATCGTGTTGGTTTTTAGGATTTCTTGTGACTTCATTTAGAGTCTCTCGGGGACTTGTCTCAAACTTGCGTTGATGTGCGGGCCTTCGTCCTTTCACTATCCGCTAGGTACGAATCTTTATAATCACTTGTGAGGGGGGGGGTTGAGGGGATGCATCCACTTAGAACTTTTGTGGGAACCAAGCTATTCTTCACAAATCTTGTCACTGATGAACAAAGAAAACACCTTGGATGCCCTGACCTGTATGTCATACGGGGGTGTTTTTGCTAAGGGATGAATTTTTTCAGTTTTCTCGCGATACAGTCGGTTGACTACCTTTAGGTCAACCCGAGTTCCCCGAGTATCGGGTAAGGGTTTGAAAACATACATGGTTAGTTTTGTCCCCTGAGTATCGAAAATGGGCTTACATAGTTCATGCTTCTTCTAGCAAAGGGTGCCTTAAATGCATGTTTGAATCTGACATTTCTTATCTTTCCGAGAAATCAACCATCGAGACGTCCCTTCAATGTGTTGAGCTGTCATCCTTAAGTGTACCCTTCTTAAGCATTTTAGTGAGTGGGTCCTATTTAATGTTTTTGATTCTTTCTCCTATTTAAAGGAGGAAGAAATTCTCAATATCCTCACCAATCCATCATGCATATTGGCTTTGTGAAATTTTGTCGAGATTGGCCTATTTTTCAATCCATCGGGAGCGGGGGCGATCTTCCATTGATGGGTGCTGATGGATCTTCAATGCCCAAGCCTTTTCAATTTTTTTTTCTTTGGATCGTGTATATAATGGAAGAATTTTCTCCAAGCTAGGTGTCGAACGTCGCCTGAACCGAGGTGGGTGTATGGCAGGAGATCCTTCCTATGGACGTATGTAGTGGGCTTCAGAGATTGGTTGATGTGAGGCCACTTTCCTGGGAGGTCAATGCATCCATTCGATCATTGCTTTCAGATGTTTGGAGGTTTGTTGGTCCCTGGACTCCAGTGGTTCAAGAGTAAGGCGTGACACCTCCGATAGCAACGATTTCTCCTCTCTATCTCCAGCTGCTCTTCATTATGGGAGAAGTTTAGAGGAGAGTGGGAGACGAGTGAAGGCCTCCAATCTTTTTTGCTCCGGTTGCATTCTGCTTCTGATTTGTACTGAGGAAGCTCATGGATGCAAAAAGTGGTTGGAATGAAATGAGGGCGAGTGCGAGAATGCAAAATGAAATCAAAATTCTTGGATGGAGAAGCCGGCTAACTTTCTGCGAGATTTTTGGTCGAGTGTCGCCCTTCGTGGAAGATGTGATGGTCTACGCTCACCGTGATATTGGATCATAATTTGTCTTTTGTCAATCACACTCCGAGAGTTAGAGCATAGTGAAAGAGAGAATAAATAGAGAGTTGAATAAATATGGGGTCTTTGTAGGGAGAATCAACGGAATATTCCATTTATTCATATTTTTATCCCGCACTTACAGAATCGTATTTTGCACAATTACAGAAATGAGGGAACGATTATGGAAATTGTTCTTAATGTTTATAAAACCCTTATTGATTGTATAGAATTTATGTCATACTTGTATTACAATTTGAATTTTAATATTAGTGGTAATTGGCTGGTCGACTGGCTTGAAGTCAACTGACCGAGGCAACCAACCGAGTGACATGTGTGCCCTCTGGAATACACGTTGATCGGTGGAGGTGTTTGGCAGTATGGTGATTTTGCTCGGTTTCTCTTGGCACGATAGACCAGAGCGGTCGGTTATGAGGTGCTTGTTCGACTCAGACGGGGGTTGGTCAATCGAATGTGATTTGCCAGCTTTTTTTACAGTGTGCCAAGCCAAACCGACATGTTAGCAAGGCTTAGCAGACCGGATCAATCATGTCAACTCTTCGCTAGTAAAAGATAAGCCGACCAATAGCATCCACTGAACCTAATCTCCCAACCATCATGCCATGCAAGGCCTCACTTGCTAATTCAATCGAGCGTTAGCCAAGGCCTCATCAAAAATCACGATACCATTTACAAGAACAAAAAATGAAGTCAAATGAATGGGTGGGACTTGCAACATTGTTGCTAAAGAGAATCCATCCCAACCATGAAGGGTATGACAAAAGACATGTACATGTAAATTCTAATTTAATTATTTTGTTCTGCCGAGATCAAATTATTGCTAACTTGATAAAAATAAAAATAAATATAAATTAAGATCTAAACCAAACATAAAGCAACATGATCCCAAATAAAAGATCAAATAAAATGACATTTCTTAACAATGATTCTAAATGCAGTATTTTAATTTCCACTCGTATATTACGAGCCTATTTTAAATGAAGAGTTCACCTTACACACAAATTAATTAAAATAAATTCAATCAAACAACACATTTATTTGTAATTTGGCTAAACCCACTTCAAACTAATTCATTAAAATCTGTTCAATCCGAGAAAATATTATATATTTTATAAGTATGTGCGGATAACGATACATGAAATGACCACATGACCATGCATAATTTGATTTAAATGCGACGTATGTGATCTTACCATTTACCGTTGTTGTTCGCACATACTTACAAATTATATAATATTTTCTCCTTCAATCAAGATTAAATACAAATGTAGAATTACAATTAAAATATTATCATAAAATTTCAAATCATGAGATAAAATATACAAATAACACAAAACAAATTTAAATTCAAACTCAGAACAAATCCCACACATAATTCGAATCATGCATACAAATTTCATCACTTAGTTCTCCTGTGAATGATGACGATATAGAGCACAACGATAGCAAAGTAGATCATAGTTGCCAGCCATGAGATGACATTGGTGGCGACAACAATGCCACAAAAATTTTTTGTGTAGTTACAGAATTTACCCCAGCCGTAGTGCGAGTTACCTTGCCAGGCCACTTTTTCAATCACTGTCGCCGCTGTATTTGTTGTGGCGAGTATGATCAACATAACCAGGTCTATAATAGCTACTGGAAGAAGAAGCCGAGATCCATAGTTTTTGATACAGGAGAGTACTGTTAAGACCACCGACCACACAAACACCAACACGTTGCCAACGATGAAATACCTAATATATCGATTAATTAGCTAGGGTTAAGAAACAACTCGTTTAAGGGTCTGTTTGGAGCAACATTTTGTCTGCTTTATTTTTTTCAGACTGTCAACATATTTCTATTTAAAAACTATTTTCTTGTTGTTTTTTAGAATTTTCTGTAGTTGAAAACTATTTTTTCAACATAAGTTATTTCTACATTTTAAAATTAATTATATTTGAAATAGCCATCGTATTTTTTTTTAAAGTAATTTTTTCTACTGCAGCTTCACAACTGTTTATTCAAACAACTAGAACTGTCCCAAACAGAACAGAAATGTGAATTAAATCACAGAAAGAAAAAGAGTAAGTGTGTAAGTGAGTTAAATGAACACGTGAGCCGGCTCGAGCTTTGCTCGTGAACTGAGCTCGATGAGCTAATAAACTAAGCTCAAGCACGACTAGACTTGACTCGTTAGCTCATGAGCCAGCTCTGTGCCGTGATTGGGACATACATTATCCGGATTGAATGATTCTTCGAGAGATAGAGAGAGAGGGCTTACACAAAGGCCGAATTGTCAGTGGCCTTGACGGAGATTGAAAAGTAGGTGGACCTGCCCGTAAGGGAGTTGTAGCTGTATGATTGCTTGGTCTCTTTGGAGAAGGCCATCGAAGCTGCTGCGATCAACGTGAGAAAAATGGCCAATATCCGCAAGCACCGAATGTGGCGGAGCTGCCGCACGTTGCCGGACGCAGCCGCCGCGGCTGAACCTCCATTGTCATTAGTTCTCATAATTTCAGAAATCTTAACAGAAGAAATATATATATATATATGTATATATTCGCTTGCTTCTAGCTTTAATATCGATCTCTCAACGCAGGCATACGCACTATATATGGACTGTTAAAAATTAAAGCGAGATTGGGGAAGACATGCGATGAAGAGAGGAGGATATAAGAGATTTGGTCGTGGGAGAAGATGGGCGGGAATGGGGATCTTAATTTTTAACGTCTTTGAGTGGAAATCGGGTTGGATTTGGGAAAATGACAGCCCGCAATTCATGGCCGTACGTAGCCATGAATTTGTATGTCTTTGGGAAAAATTATTCCATACGGATCGGTCACCGCACATGCCTTTGGGGAAAATTATTCCATATGGATCGGTCACCGATCCGGACAGGACCGTAGATCATCTGATTTACGGTCCCGATGTATTTCGGTGGGTCCTACCGAATTTTTTTTTTCTTTTTTTTTTTAAATGGAAATAATCCTGACCGGATCGGACACCGCATGCAGAGATGCATGCGGTGTCCGCACCCAATAAATTCTCTGCGTTTGGACGTAGCGCGTGAAAGGAACAATTCAAACGTTTAATAATTATAATATGAATGATTTGCATACTTACCATTAATTCAATTATTAAGTATTTACATATCAAACCCTTAAGACTTCATTTTCTTACATGCATATGGCTCTATTTATACATAAAAATATATATTTTATTTTTAAAAAAAATTAAAATAAAACTATTTTTTATATGATATTAAAATTTATGTGTTAGATTTATTAATTCCTATGAATTTGGATGTGTGTATGTAAATGCGATTAAAATTATAGTTAATAATTTTATATATGGATTAGAACTATTCAGGAATGTGAAAAATTATTTCATACGAACAGCGCATGCAGCCATCCTATCTTCACCTTTGGTCAGAATTTTTATCATTTTTTTTTTTAAATAAGCTTACTGAAATACAACTTTAATCTGATTAACGGTGAAGATCAAACAGCGCATGTATCTGCATACAACGTCAGTATGAAATATTTTTTCTTGGATTGTACTCGCTCTTGTTTGGTTTGGTTGGACCTGGTTTTTTTTTTAAATTTTAAGATAATTTAGAGCTTTGGAGGCCGGCGTTGACCAAATTAGGCATGCTTAGATAAGAAGTCAAAGCTTTTTATGGAGGGAATTGTTAATGTAATTATTTAGACTGCGAAAGTATGAATTAATATAGTCCTAAAAATGAAAATGATACCGTACGTCGTTGGTCGTAATCTGCAAATTAAATAAATATTAAATTGCGAAATCTTTTCAATTTTATGATAATATATTCATTCATCAAATATATAAATGAAATGTAAGAAGCCAACACTGGCCTTCTTCTCCAAAATCATTTTCACAATACAATATACTATATGTTATCTTAATATTTATCTTATTTAATCGTACAATTCTATTATTACATTTCTTAAATTTTATTTTAAGAGATTAAATAAGATAAATATTAAGAATGTGCATAAAATGCTTTGACATTTATAAGAAATCAAAAATTAAATGGGTCAAAAATCAATTTTTTTTTGACATTTATAGCTAGCTCAAGTTTGACCCAAACTTAGCCCAACATGCTTAAAATGGGTCAAAAATCAAAAATCCACCAAATTGATTAACCAATTGACCTCAAAATGACTTTCACCCTTCATGAAAGTTGTTCCTCATGATCTCCTACACAATTGAAAAGATTTCGCAATTTAATATACCATGTAATTCCTATGCATTTACATTTCTATGATTTTTTATACACCTATATATAAGATTTGAAAATATGTTTTCCACATTTCAAAGATTGCTAAACTTTTCAATGAAATTTTTGAAAATGCGACCTATATTAGTAATCTTACTATCGTTAATAATAATATAATTTTGTATTTTTATCGTCACATTGGCGAAGAGGAAGTCGAGGGAGTGTTTAAGGAAAACCAATGATGGAAAATCAGTGGGAGTTGATATCCCAATTAAAGTGTGGACATGTTTAGGAGATTTGAGAGTTTTTCGGCTTACTAAGCTCTTTAATACTATTTTAAAAATTAAAAAGATACCTGAGGAGTGGAGGAAGAGTATTTTGGCATCCATATTTAAGAATAAAGGGTATGCATAAGAATGTGCAAATTATAGAAGAATCAAGTTAATGTGACATACATAAAAAAGTATGGTAGAGAGTAATTGAACATAGGTTAAGACATGATGCAAGAATTTCTCATAATCAGCTTGGATTTATGCCGGGCAAGTCTAACATGGAAGCTATACATGTATTGAGATGTTTGATGGAGAAGCATGGAGAGAGTGAGGAGAATCTACATATGTTTTGTATAGATTTTTAAAAAAAAACTTATGATAAGATTCTAAGGAAAATTCTTGGAGAGTTCTAGAAAAAAAAAAAGGTGTTTACTTGACTTATATTCAAATCATTAAAGATATATATGCTAAGAGTTGTCACTTGTGTTCGAACAGAAGTAGGATTTACCAAGTACTTTCCTATTTCAAATGGATTACATTAGGAATCAACTTTAACCCCATATCTTTTTCACTTTAGGTATCAATGCTCTTACTAGACATTTATAAGAGGATGTACCTTCTTTATGCTTTTTGTTGGTGATATCCTTCTTATAGATAAGACTAGAGAAAGAGTTCAGGAAAACAATGAATTACAGAAGTCTAAATTAGAGTGTAATGACCTTCATTTGAGTAGATATAAAACTGAATACACTGAATGTAATTTTTAGTAATAGCAGATCTAGTAACAGAGTTATAACTATAGGGGATCAAATCAATAAATGAAATCTATTTTAGATATCACGAGTCTATTGTTCAAACTTTAGAAGAATGCATTGAGCTAGTTGTGTGATAGAAAAGTATCGCTCTGACTTAAAAGGAAAATTTTATAAGATGACGGTGAGACTTGCAATGCTTTGTGGAGCATAATGTTGGCCTTTAAAAGAGAAACATAAAACTCAGGGTTGCTAAGATGAGTGCTTAGGTAGTGAGTGGCTCGACACTAGAGACAAATGTAAAATAAATATATTCGTGAAAGGATTTATGCATCTCTAGTGATGGACACGATTAGAGTCATCTTAGATAGTTTGCTCAAATTAAACGACGACCATCTAATAATCTGGTCAAGAGAGTAGAAGATTTAGATTCGACTTATGTTAAGAAGGACAATGGTAGACCTAAAAGGACTTAGGCTTATTGTATAAAAAAAAAGATCTTAACTTATTAAAATAAATGAAAATATGACACTCAATATGACATAATGAAATTTTAATTTTCTAATCTTTTATTGTTTAAAAATTCCTAATCTAAAATCAGCAAAATCTCTCCAAATATAAAATAAAAGAAAAAAAAATTCCCCGAACTGAACAAAATCCATAATCTACTCAACATCACCAGCACTTAAAACTTCAGGTTTTAACGGTCATTTTTTCAAATGAAATATATACAAAGCATAACCACTAAGAAGCAGACAACAATCAGAATAGAAACAATACATTCGACTAAAAATACAACAAAAAATTTTATTTTTATTTCTAAAACAATAATCCTTGCACGAATATAAAAGCACTAAATAGAGGAAACTGCATCACCCATTTCTTCCTCATGATTTCTCACCAAACGTTCAATCACACTCTTCCATGTCTCGTAGTCAATAGCAGAACCAGCGTTGGGGAGAAGAAATCCGTTAACAAAGAAGAATGGCGTGCCAAAGACTCCTCTGGTGCACCCATACTTTGATTGAAGAACAGAAAATACAGATTTTTAGATATATATATATATATATAAAACCATAAACTAAAATTAATATAAAAACTTTGAAGAATTATCACCTTGAACGATGTTCTTGTGGCTGAATCAGAGTGGGAATCGATGAAGCCATTTTTGAATTCTGGTAAAAGAGAGCTCCCAACTGCTTCGGCGCCGAGTCTTGAAATGTCATCAACTATTGCTTCCCGGGATAAGTTTTTGGTTGGACCATTGTAGTACTTTTCCTGTTCAGTGTAAAAAGATTTCATTGTAATTAGATTCAAGGAAAATTTACATACATACCAGTCAAGTATTATGTATTTACATATCTAACATCTAAAGACCATTTTTTACATACATATGCCGCCATGCATGAAAAGTTAATATTAGTGATATTTTTTATGTAATGTTAAAGATTTGAGTGCTAATATGAAAACTTAGATGTTAGATATGTAAATGAGTTTTTTCAGTGTTAGATACGTAAAAACATAAAAATTGGGTGGTGTGTACATAAATGTCCCTAGATTCAAAAGAGGTTGGTGCACATCAAAGATTCAAAGTGTTGTACGAGTTAGGCAAGACCTAATTATATCACTGAGGGAAAAAAAAAGGGAAATTTACACACATACCACACAATTGTTATGCATTTACATGTCTATATAAAGTTTGATATTCGCATTTATAACACCGTGGTATTTAATAACTATGCATGAAAAGGTGTATTTCTAAATAAGTTAGTGATGGTAGTAATATTTATGTGATATCAAGTATTTGGGAGTTATGTATGTAGAAATAGAAGTTCAGCTGTTAAGACATGTATATATATAAGAATTGTGTGGTATGTGTGTAAATGCCACACAAAAAAAGGGGCATTTACATGCTACCACACAAATCATATGAGTTTACATATCCAACACCTAAACTTTTATTTATACATGTCTAACACTCAAATCTTTCTTATCACATCAAAAATATCAATATCATTATCTTTTTAAAAGTAATATACACCTTTTGATGCATAGACAAAGTGGTATTAAAGTGAACATCAAAATTTAGGTGTTAAATATGTAAATACATATAAATTATGCGGCATGTGTGTAAAAGTTTTCTAGAAACAAAAAAAAAGAAAAAAGATGAAAACAGAATAAACCAAGAAGTTAATAGGTTCAAGCAGGTGATAGTTAAGTCTCAATGTTTACTTCAGTATGATTTTGATTGTAAAGCTTTAAAGCTCTTGTTTTTACAATATAGAAAACAATGGTGGCAAAAACATAGGTCGAAACATAATAACATTTTTAGGATGGAAGTAGACAGAGAGAGAGAGGGAAATTGAAAAGCATGCTATGCCAAAGAAATCAGATGAAGTGTCACATCACGTTTAATGTTAGATCTTAGTCCAGCTCTAAACTTAAGAAGTGTCATTTAAGAATATAATAATAAGACAAATTTATTTATGCATTCAGTGATAGTTTTGTTTCTTGTTTCAGAGTGTTAAATTTATCAATTAGTCAATCATTTCATGATAAAAGCAAATGCTTCCAGTTAAGTAATTCTTCATATCATCCGAAGTAGTTCAAAGTTCTCCACCCAATATTTCCAAATATTTTTTCACATTGATCCAATATACTTTTGCTTGCTCACTTAACTTGAATTCCATAAATTTTGCTTGATGGTTATTTTTCAAAAAAAAATATTGATAACCATTTCCCAATTAGAATGTAACTTTACAATCTATTGTCACATCAAATGTAGACGTGTCATTTCTTACCTTCCTAGTTATGTCGTCATCAAAGGCATGTTTGCTATCTATGATTATCATAATCTTCATTATGATATGCATAAAGTTAATTTTGATTTTTCCCAAGTGATTAACTTCTTATCTCATAATTATGTTAGCATTCAGATGGATGGATCTCATTGAGGCTAGAATTAACTTCTTGTACGTGGATGAAATTGAGCAATTCCCAGAATTTTAATCTACTCTTTAACTCAAATTTATATCAACACTCATGTGATTAATTCATCAAACAATTCATCCAATTAATAAGTTTGTCAGCAAAACATCTTATATATGTATTTGGAAACTAATAGCTCAAAAAATTTGCACCCTTGATGACACCGTTCTAGAGTCCCCGGAAAGTGCTTAAGGACTGAATTTAATGGGGAGAAGTTGTGAAATAATAATAGAAAAAAAAATATTCGAGGTCGCGGAGTTTGTAGGGCAATAGAAAAAGTTTAACAGCTATTCCGATTGAAAACAACATAGAGAGCCACGAAATGACGGTTGTGATATGGCATAGCTGCCAAGAGAGATATACTAACTTTTCTTGAATAATCTACGACACCACTTGCAAAGGTAATATGACACAACACTTCTCTTGGGAAGAAAACCGCCAAGCACATAAAAGAATCTAATTTCCTTATGTACATCTATATGATTTAAGGACTCACCTGGTATTTAAAAAACAGCTCTAGTAAAGGATAAGTGGCAGATACATTTAGCGTGTTGGCTATATGAAGTGCTCGGCAAGCAACAAACGAATTATCATGATATCTGCAATGGAAAAAAGTTGATAGCATTTATAAGGAACTCATCATAACAGTAGCTTACAAACGTCATAAAAAATGAATCGGAAACTGCAAAATACATTAAATTCACATGGAAAAGAAAATCTATGTATCAAACAGAAAAGTTATATTTTGCTGATATATGGAGTTTCCTAGTCTGAATTAAATACGTAAGTTCAAATAAGGTCGAGGATGGTAATGAACAATATTCGGTGGCGTCCTGAAGTCAGAGATCTTTACCTATTAATGATGCTTTAGATTGAATGAAATGCTCATGTTTCCATTGAATTCAAAGTGAAGTAAAGATGCATAATGACGCCCTTTAAGTTTTCAAGTAACAAATTCTACACAAATAGAACGTAGCAACTCACTTGAGTTGGCAAGCTGCAGAATTCATAAAGATGTAATTTGAAGCAAAAACAAAATAAATTACAGCTTGTTAGACATAGTTCAACACAGCACACAGCAAAAATCCAACTTCATAAATTGGAAAACAATTATGCTTGTTACCAGCCAACAAGAATAATTATCCAGCGCCTGGTTGATTCCAGAGGGACCAAGAAGCACTTGACATAGAAATTTTCAGCTCAAATAAATAAGAAGTTAATTAACCTTAGTAAAATTAAGTCAAAAGCCTTTTTTGAGTAAATAAAAATAACCAGGCCTATACTAGACATGGTAATTATCCGTTTTGGTCTAGCCTGCCCCATACATGCCGAATTTCACAGTTTTACACCAAAAAGTCTGACAAAGCTCCCGCCCGCAATATGTCTTTATTGATTATCTCTATTTCCACCATATCCAAAGTCTTGATTCCATTCAAGACAAAATAAATATTGTAGTGATTTATTCATAAATAATAACTAAAGAAGAAAGAAAAAGAAAGGAATATGATAGAATCAGTTTCTTCTTTGGATGTGATAGTGATTGGAAAACAGGAAAAGAAGTATCTCGGATGGCAGTAACCTAGGGTTGAAACGTTAAGAGTTATGATTATAATAGAATCAAATGAAAAGTAAGAAAATTCCTTCTTCGGATGTGACGGTAATTGGAAAAAAGGAAAAGAAGTATCTCGGATGGGAGTAACCTAGGGGTGAAAGGTTAAGAGTTATGATGAGGATAAGAATCAAATGAAAAGAAAATGAAATATATACGAAAAGAAAGAAAGTAGCAAAGAGAGAAAGGAAACAGAGAAAAGAGAATCTTTCAATTTCAAATCAAGATTTAATAATCAATAACAAACCCATCAGTC